TCCCCCCCCCCCCCCCCCTGTGTTTTTCTGTGTTATAATGACACTTTCCACGACGTCCACCTGTCTAAGACAACCAATTCCCTCGACAATGAGTGGCCGTCTAGGACAATTTGATCTTTAATTAATTAATGTTCTAACCCCAAGCTTACCTCTCCTTGAGATTTGTGCCGTCTGCTACTTGCTGTGACGTCATGGGCTCCATGGCATCCATGAGAGCTTGAAGAATCCCCAGCTCGTAGGCCAAGCTAAGTATCGAACCCGTGAAACTGGATCCAATTATTACTTCCAGATTTTTAACGAAGGGTGAAGACGTATCCGCCATCTTGGATTCTGTTCCTGTGTGTATGTAGTCGGACGTCTGGCGTCATCAGATGAGGACAAAAGAAAATTCTTTAACGTTCCCGAAGTAGTGAAAAATGAAATGGTATAGGTTTAACACCCCATTCAATCCTGTTAAGTTATTTATGAGGCGGGACCTCCGAGTTAAATGTCATCTCCGAAAGGACAGAGCTTGATGGGAAATTAGAGTAAAGTGTCTTTCCAGAGGACAAAATGTCGGACCAAGCTCAGGCTCGAGCCCCCGAACCCGCCATCTTACAATTACGAGTCCAGTAGCCTGGCCACTAGGCCAACGACGACACTCTCGAAGTTGTGCTGCAAAATAAATCGTTACCTCTTCAGCGACGCCGGGGACAAGTGATAATATTCACAAAGCGGTGGAATCAATCGCTCATCGAAATAATAAAATCAAAGAAACCGTGAACGACAACAAAGTGGGAATCCCTCAATGACGTCAAACAAGATGGCTGTTACTATAAATATCAGCCAAAGGCGTACATCTGTCGTTCTCGAGTTATCCACATGTGTAAACGAATAAAACGGACGTTGAAAAGTGTCAATCGTACGTTGGTATGTGTCCTATTTGACTTCACTACCCTTCCATAGTTTTCGTTTGTCTTAATCAATAAACTGAGGGGGGGGGGGGGAACCCCTCAGACCAGTACACTACCAGGTCACCGTAACACCTGATTCGGATTCACACAGTCTCGAGCATGACTTTATAATGCAATGACGAAACTATCTAATCTGTCAAACTCCGAGGATAATGAGTGACTTCATATTCAAATGGCACCTACAGCAGAAATACATGACGTATAAGATAATTGGCGCATGACAGGGACGACAGTGAACATTTAGGGAGTGGGTATTTGGCGGCTGCTCTGGTGTGGTGAGCTCTTTCTTTCCTATCAAACATCTATCGTCCTCATGTGTCCTCCTCCTCCTCCTTATTTATATGACCTTATTGTGCTGCAAGTGTCGTAAAACTGTTACTAAAACTAAACTGAATAATTGGCGTTATTTTTTTTTCTTCCCTCTGTTTTTTTCTGTCTAATAACCCGATGAAATCCCACCACCCTTTTTTGCGGGTGGCTGGAGGGTGCCACTGGTAGGTCCTATTTCTTTATTTTCCATCTGTTGTTTCTGTCTGTTTCATTTACTTTTCCCCAGCACTATTGTGATCATTATTGTGTTCATGTGCTTCCCTGTCCTCAAAGGAACAAAATAAAGATCCCCCCTTGAACGATTACGCGGTAGTTGAATTTAGATCTTCTGCGCGCGACGGAGCAGTGTCTAACAGTTACACCACACCATAGAAGCACCTGAGAAATTGGATAACAGGAGGAAAATTGTGTAATTATTATTTAAGTTTTGCGGCCCTCTCGCAACTGCATAAGGTCATATCAGCGCGCGGGACACATTAAACATGTTCAGTTGGTAGGGAATTTTGAATTTTGCCCGAGTGGCGGTTAAAGCCTCTCTTATCCATTTTGGACCACTAAAGGATCTTTAACGTGCGCAACTTGCACACATGATCACAGAGATTTTTCGCCCTTATCCGAGAAGGCTAGGTGTAGATCTTACCTAGATCTACATATGAACAGGGATGTGGCTGAAAGACAGCAATAAGAAGGAGCCAAGGAGATGCAGGAGAAAAGCAACAGCCCAGAGGAGTGGGCAAAGGAGGAGGAAACTTCGATTGGTGAACACATTTTAAAAAAGTTGAAACAATTGTTTCGTTTTTGTTAGCCCCGACTGGCGTATTTGAAACAGTCCGTCTCTTTAATGATAACATGTGAGTTAGAGTAGTGAGATCAGGCGCTCGACAAAATAACGGAATGAGAAAAAAAAAAACGATATTTGTCCGCCCGTTTGGCAATTCACATCGATTTTTTTTCTTTTTAATCCGCACCTTTTATGTCCATCTAAAAACACAATTTCAGTGGGGGCAATACCTTTTGGACCAATCCCTTCAAAATTCCTTCTACTTCTAGACCAGTCAAAGACGGGCGTCCCCTTTAGACTAGTTGTGCTCGCTGACTGCTTGCTTTAATTTTGGAATCATTTTTTTTCTTTGCGTTGACTCTTCCATTCGCCAAATACAGTTTTTTAATGTCGCTTATTATATGGGTGCCCATATCGGATGGGATCTGGTCTGGTCGGGTCGGGTCGGATCGATCGCCCGACTCGTCGCCTGAAAACAAACGAGTTTGTTTTTTAGGCAACGAATCAGGAGATCGGTTTGTGCTACGAGACGCTTTGTTCCCTCAATCTGGCTAGCAAACAGACCTGATCGTGCCTATGGGCACCCGGTATTAGAGTTTCGATTCTGAAGACCTACAGTGTATTAAATGTGTTGCCTTCTGCTCATCACAGGGAAGTGGAAGTATATGTGAGGCAGCGTGGTGGAATCAGACTCTCGTCAATTTTTGGGCATGTAGAGTTATAGGTATTATCTTAAAGCGTGTTCACTTGTCTTTATTTGGATGAAAAAAAGTATCCATTTATCTTGAATACAAGTCGAGATATTTGCGAAAGAAGGAGGTGGGGGTCACCTGTTTTCAGAGGTAAAATTAGTGAGAAAATGGCCGCCAAAGATTGGTTATTTCCTTAGCTTAAGAGTCCGTGGAAACTGAAAATTTACATTTTTTGTGAGTTTAATCAACGTTTTTAAGAAAAATCTGTACAGAATTGAGTTCTTTAATGGGCATGAAAGGTGTTGAGCCTAAAAACAAAAATTTGATAAATATTCACAAACCTGCGGAAAAATGCAAGTTTCTTCACTTTGATTATTTTGACGAGAGCCTGATTCCACCACGCTGCTTCACATATGACCTCTAGCAAGATAAACATTTTGGTTTTATATCATTTTGCAGCTGGATTAAAATTTATTTTCTCTGCCCGCTTCTTTAATGCACTCCTTTGAAGCACTCTTGTAAGCATATTATATGATGTGTAAATACTCCCCTCCCCTCTCAAACACACACACACACACTCACACACACACACACACACACACACTCACACACACTCACACACAGTACACACACACGCATAAACACACTCACATACACTCACACACTCACATACACTCACACACTCACATACACTCACACACACACACACACACACACACACACACACACACACACACACACACACTTACTCTTGGGATATTTCTTAAGGCAAATCTAAATACATGTACTCAGCGAGGCAGATTCAGGCGTTTTCAAAATCATGTGTTTTCGTCAGAATTCAAGTTTTCTTACAGTCATTGACCAATGCATGTTCGATGCTGCTAATGACTATAATCGTTCTTTCGTCCGAATACTGGGGATATCTGGGGAAATAAATACGTCACGACAAGGTAGAATCAAGTGCAAGTCAATTTTTGGGCTTGTAGAGTCATTTGTAAGATCTAAAAGCGTATTTTTTATTTGCCTTGCTTTTAATGGAAAAAAACACCCATCCAGCTTGAATAGAAATCAAGATATTTGCGATTGAGGTGATGTCGTTTGACTTCATATGTAAAGTTAGTGAGAAAATGGCCGCCAAAGATTGGTGAATTCAGTAGTTGGAGAGTCCTCGAAAACTGAAAAATGACATATTTTGTGCCTGAAGTCAACGTTTTTCAGGAAAAATGTTTTTATATGGGCATAAAAGGAGTTGAGCAAGAAAAACAAAGATTCGATAAAAAATTTCCAAACTGGCAGAAAAATGCCTGTTTCTCCGATTTAATTATTTTGACGAGCGCCTGATTTCACCACGATGCCTCACAAATTTACATTTTTCAACTGGTCCAAAGGGGATCGGGTATTACGTAAACTGCTCCAGAAGGATCCCACCTTTTCTGTGTGGGTTTTACGGAAGAACATTGGTGAAAAGTAAATTATATGTAAACTTGCACTCTTTAAGGCTACTCGAGCGTTGAAAGTGACCAAACTTGTTTTTCGCTGGTTTTACCTCTGACACTAGGCGACCCCCACCCCCTTTAATCGCAAATATCTCAAATTGTAGTCAACATAGATAGGTATATTTTCTCCTTGTTTTTTTTGTTTTTGTAAAGTGTTTTACGGCGCTCGCAACTGCATAGGTCATATGGCGCGCGGGACACACCTAATATTTTCAGTTGGTAGGAAATTTTGAATTTTGCCCGGGTGGCGGCCGAAGCCTACTCTTATCGATTTTAGACCACCAGGGGATCTTTAACGTGCGCAACTTGCACACGGGCCCTCCGAGATTTTTCGCCCTTGTCCGAGAAGGCTAGGTGTAGATCTTTCCTACCAGAAGATCAAGGGTGTGGCAGAAAGACAGCAGTAAGGAGGAGCCAAGGAGTAGCAGTAGAAAGGCTGCAGAAAGAGTCAGGAGCCCAGAGGAGGGGGCAAAGGAGGTGAAGGGGTGGGGGCAGAAAGTGGAAATGAAAGCAGACAACAGAACATTGCTAGAGAGCAGGAAAAGAGGTGAAAGGAGACAATTTTAGAGAAGAAAATTTTTTGGTCGCTACCCGGAATCGAACCCGGGACCTTTGAATGAGAGGCCAACACCTTAACCTCTAGACCACGAGAGCCCCCTATATTTTCTCCAAATGCCAGACAAATGAAGATGCTTCAAGATAATAATAACCCAAAACGCCTAAAAATTAACAGCGCCTTAATTCCATCGCGTCAAGACACATATGTGAGGCAGCGTGGTGGAATCAGGCGCTCGTCAAATTAACGAAATCGAAGATACCGCCATTTTCCCGATGGTTTGGAAATTTTATCAAATTTTGTTTTTTCAGCTCAATACTTTTTTGTCCATACCAAAACACATTTCAGTCTGAATTTGACTGAAAAACGTTAATTAAAGGCTCAAAATATGTCATTTTTCTTTTTTGAGGGACTCGCAAGGGACTTTTCAATAAAGTAACTGAAATTTAGCGGTTATTTTCTCGCTAATTCCATCACCGAAACCAAGCGGCCCTACTTCCTGCAATCTCAAATAGTTCGACTTCTATTCAACAAGGATGGATATTTTCCC